CCGACACAAACGTTTTTATGGGGGAAAAAAAAAAGTAAAATCAAATAAAATCACAAAAATCGATATTTTTTCCCACTTCTTTTGCACCCGTTTGGAGATAAAACAACGCAGTAACCTCCTTAGAAAGGTGCCTTTATACCCTTTACGCTGTTCTGGCCGTGCGAGTTGATCTTTTAGCTCAAACCAGAACTAGTTTTGTATCGCCCGAACCTCGAGCTCACTGCGTCCCGCGGAGGAATTGCTTCTTCCACCCGTCTAGCGCTTGGTTTGTTCAGTTTTGATGCCAAAATGGGCAATTTCTGACAATAATTTCGGGGTTCCTTTCTTTTTCATTTTACTTTGGATTCTATCGACTTTCAATGCAAGGCCACCCCCCCCCCCTCCAGTTTCCTACTAGAGGATCGCTAGGAAGCTGGCTTTTTCTTTATTGAAACCTCTTAATTCCCTTTAAAACAAGTTTAAAACCAACCAGGGGGATTATAATTATGGTTAATATTAATAATTATTACTATTTGCTGGGAATGGGATGGTTCTGCTGCTTGAGGAGCCATTCAAAGGTGGGGGGGTGGCAAGTTTTGAGGTATTTTATATTGTTATTCACAGCCCTGCTACAGCCCCCTCCCTTCCCTCCCGCATTATATACAGATCCCTGCACCTACCCCCAGCTCGGCACATCAATACCTACGGCTTGATTCACGTCGTCCCCCCCCATATCGAGTATGAATTAATCGCCGTGGTTTCCGCACACCCACACGGCCATAGGCAAATATACACTGAGATAAATAGCCAGGGATCCGCACATGCGGAGGGACACCCCCCCCCCCCCCCGTCCATGCGCGCTTCCCGAGGTGTTTATATCCCTTAACAAAAAGAATTCCTGAGTTATTTGGCTGTTGCAGATGGAGCGGCGGAGTCTGGGGGTTGCTGCTTTTATACGTATATAAATATACATACGTTTATATGTATGTATATATGGATCAGCATTCATTCCCTGCACGGATCTCGGGGTTTCCTGCCTGCTTTCCGCGGGCGCGGAGCGCGGCCGCCGCTTTGTGCGCTCACGGCTCCCTCCCGCAATTGCATTTAAATTCCATTTTATTTCATTTCCCATTTCTTTTTTTTTTTTCTTAGAAAATACATTTTTAACCCGATCCGGATTTAGGGCAGTCACGGGCCGGGAGCGAGCGATCGTGCTCGGGGGTTAACACGGCAAACGGGAGCGTTATCACCCCCCCCATCTCCATATCCCCTTCCTAAGTTGGGGGGTGCGGAGACACACGGGGTAAGCCCCCCCCCTCCCCGATTTGCCTTATTCATGGGTGCGAACTCCCCAAAATCGGCTTTTCTCCACATTCCCCCCCCCCCCAGGATTGGGGGTTTTGGGGTGATTTTTTTGGTGAGCATCCTCGGCGATAAAACCTGAATATCTGGGGGGCAGCCGAACCCCCTTTTTCAGCATGGGAGGAGGGGGGGGTAGGGGGGTGGAGATAAACCAAAACCTCCAGTTAACCAAAAAATAAAAGCCTCTAAAAACCCAAGTCAAACAAACATCGCTTTCAACAGCAATTCCCGTCTCCAAGAAAAACAGCGATTCACAGAGACAAAATACGCTTTGACCGCAAAAAATATCTTTTTCCTCACACACCCCCCCCCTTTTTTTTTTTACCCATTGATAGAATTAAACCAAAAAACAACCAAATCAAGCCGGGCCAGGCCCGATCGGGATCTTTCCTATTGAATCCTGCCACGATTCTCCTTGGCCTCCCCTTTCCCTTCCAGCAAAAGACATTGAGAAAAGGGAATTTTATCATTATTATTATTATTATTATTGTTAATTATAGTTTTCGGGGAGCCAATTTTTGGAGGGAAACAATAGAAATTCCCGAGCGGGCGTTAAGCGATTTTCGGCCGTGGGCTGCGAATATTTCCTGTTGCAAAGAACGGAGGGAAAAATAACCCACATCTCCCTCAATAAAATATAAAAGAAGGGAAAAAAGGGAACACACACCCCCACACACCAGCTTTGATTTCCCAAACCAGAGCGGACTTCAGAGAGCCCGTAGGGCTTTGATGCCAAAGCGGGGTGGAAATCACATCAGGAATAGTCAAAAGGGCCTGTTACAAAGCCACTGGTTCGCAAGGAAAGTTAAACTGGGATATGGTTTCCTCCGCCGAGGAGAGGCATTCCCCCCGCATTCCTCCCCGCATTCCGCTCCGGAGCTCGGCCGGGATCAAATTGTCCATCTGTCCCTTCCTGCCAATGCTCCGGATCCGATTTCTTGGAGGGGGGGGGGGGGAGGTTTTCCAAACGCTGCCCTCGGGCTACCGGGGCTGAAACCCTGTAAAACCTCCCTTTTCCTGCTCAGTTTTCATCCTTAATTTTCCTTTCTTTTCTCTAACATAGGCGCAGCAGTTTCAAATCACTTCCTCCCCAAGAATCCTGCTTTAACAAACTGAATTTCCTGCTCTATTCCTTTTTTTTTCCTCCCTTCCCGTCTCTCAAACAGACAGAAATCATCATCGCCCCGCTGTAACGCCGTGATTTGGAATCGCTGCTCCCGATTTCCCGGGACTATCCCAAGCGGACGCGGGTGCCTGTGCTCGGGGGCACCGTTATTGCCCTCAGTTTGTCATTATTAATAGTTTAATCCGCTGCATTTTTTTTGCAGGAAAAGGGAGAAATTGGATCTTTTCTCTCCCGGGTTTAACCGGGCGGCCCCTTCCTCCGCTCTCAGCTCCGCGGTTCATCCCAAATCCCTTCTCCGGGAATACCTCCCCCCTCACCCCAGAGAGGATGGAGAAGGGAGGTGCGGGGGGTGTGTGTATCGCCACCCCGGGGGTTTTAGCTTCATCCTTAAAGGAAACCAACACCGGACCCCGGCACTTACACGGCCACAAAAACATCTCATCTCCCATACAACCAGAGCGGGGCCCCCCGAAACGCTCTCGCACCCTGCTGCCCCTTCCCCCGGTTCCTGAGGCAGCCCCCCCAGGCCGGGACCCCGCTCCTGAGGCTCGGTGGGACGAGGGGGCCGCTCGCAAACACCCCCCAGCCCCGGACCCCGTCCCCGGGTCGTTCCCCCCCCCCCCCACCGCTTTCATCTCTTGCCCGTTAACCTTTCCTCCGGGCCGGGCGCTGTCCTTAGAGATCCTCCAAGCTACAGCCCCGGAACTTGAGGCTGGGGGGCACGGGAATGGCGCTGCCCCCCAAGTGCCAGCTCCACAGCGGGTGAGTTTTGGAGAGAGCCCAAGAGTTTTTGCCCCCCAGGGAAGAGGCAGGACACAAGTCCCCATCTTCCCCCACGACCAAGGAGGGAATACAAGGGAAGTTGCCCATGAGGCTGAAGGAATTCCGAGGCGGGGCCGGCCCGGCGTTGCCGAGGCGTTTGCAAGGAGCGTTTCCCTTCCTGGAGTTCCTCCGCGGAGCCTTCCGTGCCCCCCCCTTGGCGGAGCCCCGTTGCCTTTCCCCGCCGGTGCCGCGGGCAGGGCGGCTGCGTTTGCCGCTCCCCTCCGCTCCGCTGCCCCTCGCAGCCCGGTTCCCCGGGGCGCCGGGGCTCCCGGGCCGTTTGCAGCCGGTGGGGGGGAGCTCTGCAGCTCTGCCGGGCTCCGGCCTCCCGCCCTGCCGCAAACTTTTCCCGTCCAGGTTGAAGCCTTTGGCGTAACACCACAGCTTGGACTGCCGGATCAGCCGGTCGAAGTGCTCCCGACGGGGCTCCCCCCCATCCCCGGGGGGCACCGGGCCGGGCCCCCCCGCCAGCTCCGGTACGGAGGCCGGGGCCGGCTCCGGGGCAGGCTCTTGCCCGGGTAAAGCTCCGCTTGGCCGCTCCGCCTGCTCACCGGGGCCTAACGAGGCTCCATTGTTCGAGGCATCTTTGTGCAAATCCTCCCCTTTGGCGCAGGGCTCCGCATCCCCAAAGCCTCCCTCCTTTTGTTGCGGATCCCCCCCAGGGGTGCTGCTCGGGGAGGGAGGGGGGGAGGAGGAGGAGGAGATGGAAGAGAAGGAGGAGGAGGAAGGGGAGGCCTCCCGCTTTGCGTACAGCTCCGGCTGGGCCCCCGAGCCCAGGGCTGGAGCCGGGCTTAAACTTTCCAAAGTTGATGCTCGCAAAGTCCTGGCCCAGAGCTGCTGCGAGAGGAAGAGGAGGCTGGGGTCAGGCCGCAGGGCTTTGCCCGCTCCGGGGAGAGGGGGCTCCACGGGGCGCTCCTCACCCAGGGGCTCCCGGGGGGGCTGCGGTGGGAAGCGCGGCAGAGCCGCCTGCCTGTACCGGGTGCTCTGCACCGAGTCCCCGCTGCACAGCGAGCTGCTCTCCGACTCCGAGGAGCTGCCTTCCTCGCTGCTGCACGAGCTGTCCCCTTCCTCCTCCTCTTCTTCCTCCTCCTCCTCTTCCGACGAGTCGCTGGAGGTGGCGGGGCTGGACCCGCCGAAGTCCAGGCTGGAATCTGAGTCGCTGGAGTAACCGGCGGAGGTTCCCTGCCGCTTGGAACCGGGGAAAGCGGCGGAACGGCCTTTCCCGGGGGCTGCGGGACCCCCACCAGCCGGGAAGAGCCGCTCTGCGCAGCAGGGCCCCCGTTTGCGCGGGGCGGGGGGCGCAGGAGGGGGCGCAGAGGTAGGGGGGAGCCGAGCCAGGGCTCGGGGGCAGCTGGGCAGGACCCCGGCAAAGAGCCCCCCGGCCCGGCCGGCCAGCCCGCAGCTCCGCCGGCCCCGGGGGGGCTCCTCGCCGGCGGGGAGGGTCCGGTGGAAGGGCTGCGGCAACAGCGGGGCCGGGGCCGAAAGGGCGCAGCAGCCCCCGGCTCTGCAGGGCGGCAGCAGCGGGGGCCGGGGGCAGGGGAAGAGCCCCCCCGGGGCCGGCAGCAGCAGCTGCTCCCTCCTCTTGCTCTTCCTTTTCCTCTTCCTCCTCCGCGGGCCGAGGCTCTTGCAGGAGGTGCAGAGAGCCTCCAGGTCCGCCTTGGAGATGAGCGAGCATTTCACGGCGCGGGTGGGCACGGAGTTGATGGCTTTGAGGGTCCGGAGCTCCTTGAGATCGCAGCGGCGGCTCTTGATCTTTAAGGTTTCCATCTTCTTGCTGATGGTGGTCCTGGGGATATCCTTAAACAGGTCGCTGAGGACCTGGGCCAAAGCAAACATCTGGGTGCCATTGATCTGTAAGTATCCCAAGTTTATCCCTTCGATTTCTTGATAGCCGGCATGAAAATCCCCCGGCCTGGCTTCCCCATTGTAATCCATGGTGGCTGGAACAATTCCGAAGGTCCCTTCGCAGGTCAGGAACATTTTGCAAGGAGCATTTACTTTGTCTCTTTCAAAGGGGGCATTGAAAATAAGGACATATTTGTTTCCACTCCCTGATCACACACATCCCTACCCCTCGCAGAGGTGGGGGGCGAGGGGGGTGGTGGGAATAAAAACCAAAGCAGTCGATCTCCCTTTCAAACGCTCCAGTCAATGGGTTGCAACATCTTCCGAACACCCAGTTCCTCCGCCTGCACCGGGGCTCGACTCCTCGTCTTCCCCCTCCCCAGCCAAAAACAAAAAAAGGAAGAAAAAGAAAGAAAGAAGTCAAACATTTTGTGTGTGTCCCCATATCCCTCCCGGCCGGCTCCCACCCGCGGCCGCGCACCCCAGATTGAAATAATTGGGGAAGGGGGGGGGGGGGAAGAATCAACAAGCGCAGCCCCCCCTGCGCTGTGTAACCCCCTTGAGGTGCTTAAGCAAACAAAGCTCCCGATGGGGGGGGGGGGGGGGGGGAGGAATATGGAGGCGGGGGGGGAGCCCCGGGGCTCTGCGCGGTTCCCACCTTCCCCGCGCTCCGCACTCGCGGCCCCGCCGCCGGTACCGTATATTCTAAGGGAACACCCCGCCGGGCCGGCCCCGCCACCCGCCACCCGATTGGGCGTTCCGGGCCCGTGATGTCATAAACCCCAACATTTCACACGCACACACACACACCCCCGCGCAAAACCTGCGCAAACCCCGCGCAGCCCCGCTCCCGGCCGTGCCCGCCGATCCCGACCCCGCGCACACAATGGAAGCCACCTCCTTGGCTGCTTCCCCCCCCCCCCCCCCCTTTTAAAATATGTATATATTAAAATTTACTCTTTCCGCTGTATTTCGAGGTGACGGCTGCGCGGGCGCCTCCGCTTTGTTTCCGCGGTTTAGCTGGGGTGGGTTTTTTTTTCCACGTAGGGTTTTACGAGCCGTTGCTGCGCCTTCCCAAATCTGCCCCGATTCCTCTGGGATGGGTGTGTGTACGTATAGATTTAATAAAGCGTAAAAGATCCGGCTCTAAGCGAGTTGTTCGCAACGATTGACTCCGCAACAATTCATCCTTCAACCTTCAATGCTTATTAATTGCCCATTACTGTATTTATTAGCTGGCATGAGCGGGGTGTCCACAACAACATCGGTAGCGTGTGCGAATAGAAGCAACGCGAAGATATTTATATTCCTTTTTACTCACACACGTTCTTTATTCACTCCGTATCTTTTTTTCTTCCAAACTATTTCCTTAAAAAAAAAAAAAAGAAAATTAAGGAAAATTATTATTATTAATAACAATAAAAATCCTTTTGCATGGATTTGCGCTGCTTAACTTTATTTCAAACTTTTAAGCCCCAAGATTTCGATTCTTTCGGTGGCTGCTTCCTCGCTCCCGCCCTTCCAAACCAGCCGCTGTTTTCCCAAAAGCAGAGCTGCGGATTCCCTTCTCCAAAGTTGGGGGGGGGGGGGGAAAGGGGGAAAAAGCCACCCCCCCCTCCTTCCCTTTCCCCTCCTTTCGCCCTCACCCGGCCCGGAGCTCCATTGTCCCGGCCCCTCGATTTCTTTCTAAACCTGGAGCTCCTTGAGCGCAGGGAGCGGAGCGGCGGAGGCCGGGCCGAGGGGTTTCAGTCGCTGCTCAGGGGGCTAATTTTGGGGAAACAGTTACCTCGGAAACCTCTCGGGGGGGAGGGAAGGGAAGGGGAAGCTCCGCCGTGCACGCTGCGCTCTTCCTCGCAAAGCCTCCTCTGCCTCCCCCATGAGAAGTCGCTTCCAGCCCTCCTCCGCCTTCTCTTTCTTGCGGTTCGGATGGCAAAAATCGGGGTAATTTGATAATAATAATTTGTTAAACTCGAGGTACAAATCAACCGCAAACGATCCCGATTTAGAAACAATCCCGGAGGAGGAGGAGGAGGAGGAGGAAGCGCATTCCTGAGTATGCCTGTAAAAAAAAAAATTCAAACTCGCTCCACCATCGCCTTTAATTCAGAGCCGAGATCACCTGATTTGCTTTTACCTTGGATGGGAGGAGAACCCCCGACGCCAACGTGGGTGCTGCTTGGGGTGGGGGGGGAAATCACTGCCAGGGCTCCCTCCTCCCCAACACCCATGGGTGCACCTCCCCTCAAATGCTTGGCCTTGCTGCTGAAAGAGAATCCCCCTTTTTATTTCCCTGCGTTAAAACCCACCACATTTCACCCCCGTTTTCCACAAGCGAGAGTTTCCTGTGAGTAAAGGTCTCCCGGCCAACACAAACACCAAATTCCTCTTTGTTTGGGCAGAGGGGAGGGGGAAAAACTTCGCTCTGGACGGAAAGTGGCCGGTTAGGGGATACTGCAGCTCCTGCGAGGGACCACAGAAAGTCCTGCCTGGAGCTTCCCTTCGCAAATATAGGGAAGATCCTGGGTATTTTTCTTTCCACATAAAGCCAGAGCCATTTTACCTATAGGCTGAGCTTTGCTCCGTGCCAGACTGGAGGAGGGGAGCAAGGGGCCGGACCTGGCCTGGAATATCCCCAGCCGATGGGGCTGATGCAGTTCAGGGATTGGGAAAGGGGCAGCTGGTGGAGAAAATGCAAACCCCAGCAGCACAAGAAACTCTTCTGATCACTTGTAGGGCTTTGGGGGGGGGGGGACTGGAGCCCCTCAAGTGCCGACTGGGAAACAGGGCTTGGAGGCCACATGCAGGCGAGTGTATGGATACGTCATTTCCCAGGAAAGTGCCAGCAATAGGAGCATAAATCGGCAATATTTTGGCTATGGATGAAGTTCAGCGGAGGGGGTGTGTGCCTTGATGTCTCTATATGGCCCCAGACAGCCTGACATGGGCCTAGAGATACTTTACGAACCCGTGTACGTATATATATACCCATATATCTATATATATATGCACCCATATATATACATGGGGAGGGTACTCGCAGCCAGGGTGGTGGTTCAGAAGCAAATGTATGTTGGCCACACCAGCAGCCCGCTGTGTTTCTGCTGTCCCTGTTATGTCCCCTGTTGCCCACACCACAGACCCCCCTTTGCATGGGGCTGGGGACAATGTCCCTTCTCCAGCCACTCCATGCGTGTATGGATAAATGAGCTGCTCCGTCTGCGGTGCACAGGGGCTTTTATACCTCTCATGTCTGTCATTAGGGTGGCTGCAGGCCTGGTGTGGCAATGGCCATGGAACAGGCTGCTCCACGGGTCCCACATGTGGGCTGGGGGCTGTGTTGGGGGAGAATGGGACTGCTCTGAGCCTCGGTGGTCCTGTTCTGGGAATGGGCACAGCCAGGAGAGCCGGCAGCATCCGGATCTGTGCATCTGTTCATCATCTGTGCATCTATACATCTATGTGTCTGTGTATCTGTAGATCTATACACCTGTGTATCTGTACATCTGTAAATCTGTGTATCTGTGATTTGAGTATCTGTACACTTGTATATCCATGTACCTGTTTATCTATTTGTGTATCTGCATATCTATATATACGTATCTGTGTATCTGTATATCTGTATGTCTGTGTATTTTTATAACTGTGTATCTGTGTATTTTAATATTCATATATCTATGTATTTGTGTATCTGTGTATTTGTCTATTTGTGTATTTTTATATATGTGAATCTTTATGTATCTGCATATCTGTACATTTGTATAACTGAGTATCTGTGTATTTGTATACCTATATATCTGTGTATTTGTATATCTGTGGTTCTATCCATCATCTATCTATCTATCTATCTATCTATCTATCTATCTATCTATCTATCTATCTATTACCTATCTATGTATCTGTGCATGTGTGTATGTGTGTATCTATTTGCCCCTCAGCCCAGCTACTCCTTCCAAGGGCACAGAGGGGATTCCAACCCCCCACAAGTGAGAGGACAAGAACCACGGGGGGAATCCCCATGGGAATCTTCACCCATGAGGCACCCCCAGGAGATTCCTCCCTCATACCTGTCCGGGCTGGTTGTTTCTGCAGGAAGCAATAGAAGCTTCCCCAGCAGGGTGGAGCTTCCCATGGGGTTTCCACGTTGGTTTCTGGGTGCCTTGTTCTGTTGGACGTGGTGCAAGGACTTCAGTGCTTGGGGAGGGAAAAACCACCCCCAGAACGCCCCATAGGTTTGGGCTGAGCTATTTGGAGGCAGCTTTTGGGGCCAGGGTCCCCTGTGTGGGCTGTGCTGGGTGTACATGGAGGGGGGTTGCTCTGACAGCCCAAATCCCAGGGGCAGCTCTCCAGGTCCAACATCCCTGGCAGGGAGCAAGTGAGGGGGATCCTGTTGGAAAAGCAGGTTCCAGCAGGAAAAGAGGGGAGATGCTGCTGGTGAATGCTGGGGTGAGGACAGAGAGTGGGCAGGGAATGGGCAGGCAGGGATTCGCAGCAGCGCTTTGGGAGGATACATCAGATTTCCCATGAACAAAAGCGATCAGAAGTGAGTATTGCCCAAAATCCCCCCAAATGAGGTGGCCAAAATGATGCCGAGACCCTTCCATGCACAGATCCCTAAAGCAAGGAGCAGAGTAGACCCCATTCAGGAAACGCTCCCAAGCAGCAATTCCCACCTAGAAACCTTTATGGAGAGGCTGCAATTCCCCACTTTCCTCCTGTTACAGAGCCAGGATGGGTCCAGTGCTCCCACTGGCATGGAAAAGCCAGAGCTGAGGGGTGTTTTCAAGGGAAAACATAGAAATCCTGATCTTTTTCCCTTTAGTTTCAAGCACTTGATAACAGACCTGCAGGCAGCCCAGCACCAGGCACCAGTTACAACCCCGAATACTTGGCTCTGAGGCCGTTCCTCCTGACAGGCACTTAAACTGTCCAGCATGAAAATATTCCTACAAATCACTCGGTGCACTGGATTTTTACACGTCCCAGGGACATTTTCCAGGCTGCTGGAAGGAGCTGGAGAAGCAGATCCAAACCCCACCACCCCAGCCTGCAGGATGGAGCCAGAGGGAGGAAATAAGCCCTCCTTCATCTTGGGCTGGTGGGTGCCTTTGTGATGCTCGCCCTGCTTCGGGACCCACCTTCCTGCTGCCAGCAGCCCGGGACTGCTAAAATGCTCTCAGAGGCGCTCAAAGGCAGAGAAAGTACCTTTCATTTACACAGGATGGGTTATATTCAGGTTTTCTTCCTTGTTTTTCAAGGTATCTTTCTTATTTGTCAAGATTTTGCTCTTATTCAATATTCCTCTCTTATTTGTCCATATTTCCCTCTAATTCCTCAAGACGTCGCCCTTATTTTTCAAGATTTCTCTCATATTCCACGATTTCTTCCTTATTTTTCAAGATTTTTGTCATTTCCTAAGATTTCCTTCTAATTTTCATGATTTCTCTCTTATCTTTCAGAATTCAGCTCATTTTCAAAGATTTCTTCCTTATTTCTTGCTTTTTCTCTCTTATTTTTCAAGCTCTCTCTCATTTTTCAGGTTTTATTTCTTATTCCTCAAGTTTTCGCTCTTATTTTTTCAATATTTCTTCTTTATTTTTCACAGTGTCTCTTACATTTTTCAGGGTTTCTTATTTTTAAAGATTTCTTTCTTATTTGCCAGCATTTCTCTCTTGTATTTCAAGCTTTCTTTCCTCTTTCCCAGAGTTTCTTATTCTTCAACATTTCTCCCTTATTTTTCCAAGTTCCTCTCTTATTTTCCCAATATTTCTTATTTCCCTATATTTCTTTCTTATTTGCCAAGATTTCTCTCTTATTTCTCAAGATTCCGCTTTCATTTTCCATGGTTTCCTCCTCGCTTCTCCATCCCCACTTTGTGCATAACACTCGGTGCAACCCCTGAAAAACCCCCTCTCTGCTCTCAATCTAAACTCCAAGCACATTGAATCGCCAATAAACAGGATTTAAATAAATCCCACTGCTCCTAAATGAATATTTGGATCTATGGACTCATTAATTCTCCTACTGAGAGGAGGAAAACCAGGGGCTGAGGACACAGCAGCGAGCGGAGCTCTGCAGGGCCGGGTTGGCATCGTTTGCAGTGGGATGCACTGATATTAGTAGATATTTGATTCTTTTCAGATTCCTTTTTCTTTAGGTGCTCCCCCCCCACACCACCACCCCCGGTGCAAACAAAAGCAGCATTTAGTGACAATTTATAAAGAGGCAAATCCCCCTCCTCTCCCTTTTGTTTCAAAATACAAAGACAGAAAAGTGGGGTTAGTTTGAAAATAGGCTCAGGCAGGGGCC